CGCGGGAGTGCTCCCGCCGCACCCTCACCTCCTATCCCACGAAGCTGGTCCTTCGTGAGCCTTTCGTGAGTCGTGAGGGTGCAGATCTGCCTCTCCCTGCCTTCTTGCCACACTGCCCAGCCTCTCTGGCCAGGCAGGGCACACAGCTGGGGAATTGCCTCTCGAAGAGTGGCTCAGCCCCACACATGGGCCCCTTGAGCCCCAAAAGCTCCCCTCAGGACGGTAACAGTGCTCCTGCAGGGGGTTCCTGTTCCTGTCATGCAGAAGGGAGCCACAGCCTCCAGTTGCTGTGCAGCTGGATGTGAGCACCCATCCCTGCTGCCCTGGCCAGTGCATTCCCCCAGTCTGTCCCCAGCACAGCCAGGAGCCCCCATGCCCAGTGGCCTGATCAGGTCTCTCCATGCCTCCTCCTGTGTTCCCATCCCTTGTCCCCTTGAAGAACATTCCCTGCCCCGAGATTGCAAACCTGCTTTCTGCTGTTGGACAGCCAGTGCTCCATCACCTCCCCAGCTGCTTTCGTCTTCCTCGCTTTGAGTATTGTTTTCAGTTGTCCCTTCCTAATACTGGGGTGCCTTGGGTACCCCCAAATTGGATGGCAGCGGCAGAGCAGCTCTGTGGGTGCACCAGATTGTCCCCTTTCCCCTCCAGACTGAGTCCCCACAGAAAAATTTCTTTGTTGGATTTGTCTGGACTCAAAGCAATCTGTTTGCTGCCAAGCCAGGAAAATATCCCACTCACAGCTTGGACAGGAATCAGGGATGTGGTGTCTTGGTGACAGGACAGTGGCAGCTGCCTCTTGCTCCTTCACCTCTTCTGCAGCAGCAAGGACATCCCTGAGGATGGCCCTGCAGGGGCTCTCTGTCCACTAGGGATGCTCTGCTGGGACAAGCAGGAAACCTCTCTTCCTGGGAAATGTTGTCCAGTTACTCTTGTCACCCTCTCCTGACACTGTGAGTTTGTGTACCTACCATCCTCATCCAGGTCGGAGTCCTGCTCTGTGTCGCTGCAGTCACCCTGGGGAGGGGACAGAGTGTCCCCACATCCTTGGGACATAGCCAGGCGATGGGGGGGTTGCCCAGAGAGAGCATGGGCCTTGCCCACGCTACTTGCCCTGCCTGGTGGAGCCATGATCAGGCTCTGTGACAATGCTCAGCGTGTCGGGGGCAGTGAGGGCTTTGGTGCAAGGGCACAATGTGCCAGAAAGAAGAGACACGAAGGGAGGTTTCTGTGTTGCATGCTCAGGATGACTTCGTCCCCGAGTCCTGGGATGGACACTGGTGTGTGCCTGGGACACTGGGGACCTGCCCTCCTCCTTTGCAGGGCACAGGGGAGGCCGATGAAGCTGGAGACAGCCAGAAGGGAGAGTGGGACAGCTCTGGCTGCTCCGCTGGAGGTGAGGGGAGAGTAGTGGAGCCTGTTCTCCCCCTCGCAAGGCTGGGACTTTGGTTTTGCAGCGTCCTGTGTGCTGGTGCCCTCCTGCAGCCACTCCACAGCCAACCATGGGGTGGGAGTCAAAACGGGGACAGCGACTTGAGACCCCACTGCATCACCCACAAATGCCCAAACTGGTGGGTGAAGACCCTGAGTGTCCCCATGAGCGCTCCCAGAGGAGCTCTCCTGGTCCATGGCAGGGGCAGAGATGGAGCCAAGCTTACACCTTGACTTGAGCTCCAGCTTGGCTGCCCGCAGCATCTCCTCATTTCTTTTTTCTTTCAATCCTTGTGTTTTTTCTTTCTCTTCCTAAAACTGCTGTGTAGGCTTCCATTTCTCAGCAAGGTGGTTATGTTTGGGTAGGTTTTTTTCTTCCGCAGTTCCCCTGCCTGCAATATGCAGCTGAAACCTTTATGTCTGCACAGGAGACTGGTCTGAACGGAACAGGATGGGTTTGCCTGCAGCCAGGCTCCCCTAGAACCCCCTCTCCACCCCACCCTTCCCTTTAGCTCCTTTGCTCTGTGTAAAGAACCTTAAGGAAGAGAACAAGGCACCAGGTAAAAATAAAGAAAGAGAAGTCTGAGAGGTTGTGTGGGACCAGCGGTGACAACACCACCTACTTCTTGTGCCACCTCAGAGTCACAAGAGCTGAGGAGGTGAACAGAAGTCACATCTCCAGCTGGACACTGATTTCCCCTTTGTCCTCCTGCCCTTCTTATTGCTGAGCCCAAGAACCAAGGAGGATGGGAAGGGGCTGCCAGGGCTCAGCATGCCATTGTCCCCCGCAGCCTGGACCAGCCATGCTGGGCCTTTAACCCCCAGTTGGCATTAAAATTTTAAACACATCCCAAACCTGATCTCATGTCCTTTAATAACCTCATGGCAGGGTGAGTATGAACAGTGCTGCTTGGTCTGGTGGCATGTGAGTCACTCTGTGGGACCCTGTGGCATGCTGGGGTCCTCAGTCTTGTGCAATGTGGAGGAGATGGAGGAGATCCTGTGGGATGTGGTGAATCTTAATGGGAGAGTTTAGAGAAAGCCTGGGCAGAAACACAATCTGGATGTCAGGATAGCTGCAGGGGACACAGGGCTTTCTGACATGAGGGAATGAGTGTGGATCTGCTCAGAGCATGTTCATGTAGATCGGCTGCTCTTCTGGAGCTCTGGAAACCAAACCTTTGTCTCCCTTTTCAAAGTCCTGAAATGACAAAGAAATGGGCACTTGCAGGTCCACCTGTGCTAGAGCACTAAAAGCTGGTGTCTGCATAATGCATGTTCCTGCAAAGTTTGTGAGTTGCTGCTTGGGACAGCCTGGTAAAGAGAAGGGAAAGGCTGGTGTGGGGAAAGCTGTGTGATCCCAAAGTCAGACAGCTCCTCCTCGCTGCACCCCAAAGCAAGGTGCAGCTCCTCCTTGCTGCAGGGCTGGGAGCAAGGGGCATCCATGGAGTGACTTGCTGGGAACCCCAGGAGCTGCCCCAGCCTCTTTCCCTGCCACTTGGCCGGGCTGTTCTCATAGTCATCCTCAAGTGAGCTGAGCTCCAGCTCCCTGTTCTTGTAGATATTGTTGGAAGTGGCTGCTCGTTCCCAGCTTGCAGTGACCTGAAAGGGATGAGATGTGTTGAGGACAAGGGTGGGTCCAGGCAGTGGCTCTTTTATGATGGAGCCATCACAAGACCCAATCTCGTCACCTCCAACATGTGGTACCTGGAGGTCCTTGGCCCTTGTCCTCTCCATGGCCCAGGCTGCTGCGGGAAGAGAAATGGCTCAGATAAACACAGACCTCCCTTTGCTGAAAGGGAGCATTTTGGGGGGTCTTGATCCCTTCCCCACAGGTTCTCATATTGGCTCCTGTGCAACCTCAAGTCTGGCTTGGCTTTGCAAAGAGCCCCCTGGACTATGGGGCTCAGGAGGTTGGGGTCTTTGGGAGGGCTCCAGCCCCTTTTGTCTCAACCCTGATTCACCCCTGGGAGGGGAGTAGGGGGGCAGCCTGTGGTGCACTGAGGTGGGGGGACAGGAGCTGGAGAGCAGCATGGAGACCCTCACAGCCACCTCAGAAAGCAAGGACACAGCCTGGGCCCCCAGTCACTTGTACCTCTGCTCTTCTCCAACATCACTCTTCTCATCCTGCAGCAGATGATGACGCCCAAAACCAGCACACCAGAGGGTGTCAGGATCAGGACAAGCAGGTTTGGGGTGCTAGGAGGGGAGAAAAGCGTGTTATCATCCCTCTGTTGCCCTGTGTCCTGGGGAGGGCTTCATGCCTGTATTTCGCACAAACTCAGGGGGCATGAGACACCACGGGCTGGCAAGGATGTTCCAAGGATCTCTGCCAGTTTTCCTGGCCAGGGATCCAAGGACATGTACATGCAATGTCTGGCCACCTTGGCACGAGTGAGTTGCACAGCTTTATCCCTCATCCCCATGGGCAAGTGCCCAAACAAGGCACACATCTGCCTGGGGTGCCAGCATCCCCCACAGCCCTGAGGGAGCTGGGTAAAGGCTGTGGGACCCCCATCTGCTGGTCCTTGGGCTGGGAATGGTCCCTCTTATCTCTGGTGGCCCTGGCACTCACTCAGACTGCAAGCTTCTGACTTTCGGTGTGGACACAGTGTTTTCCTTCTCCAGGGAAGTCCAGGGGAAGGTGGAAGCAGATGTGGCCTCTTGTCCCTGTGTCGTGTAGAGGTCGTAGTGTGTTGTCTCAGGCACTGTGGTGGAAACAGATGGGAAGCAAAGTGCCATGGTGTGTGTTACCAGGTCCTGGGCTGTGGCTGAGGTTGGTGACTGGGGGTTTCCAGGCCTGAGAGGCTGCTGGTGGGTCGGTGAAGGAAGGTGGCTGGGAAATGCCAAGTGTGGCCCCAAGGAGCGAGGAGAGGGGTGCTGAGGTATCACTGAAGACAGCTGGGAGGGGGATTTCTTCCCTCCCTAGCTCTTCCCATCCTCCCTCCCAATCCTCCCCTCTCTCCATTCCTTTACCCCTCCAACCTCCACCAAAGCAGAACAGCCACGCCAGGCGCTTACCTGAGAGAACGGAAACCATGACGGAGACCATGGGGTCATACCCGGCTACCTGGATCCCACACCAGTACCAATCCCCATCCTCCACTCTCAGGTTGTCCATGGTCACCACGAACATGTGCCGAGCGGGGTCATCTTGCAGGGAGACCCTGTCCCCCCGTGCCTCATCCCCGGGTGCCATGGTTTGAACGAGGATAGAGCAGGTAAGCCAGCTGCTGCCCCTGCACCAGTACTTACTGGCGTTCACCAGCTCCGGCTCATACTCACAGGGTACCTTCATGGAGTCCCCTGGGAAGCCACTCACCTCCTTGGGGCCTCGCAGAGCCCAGCATCCTGCAAGGACAGAGGTCATGCCAGCCTGTGGGTAAGCAAAAGCTCACACACAAACCTCCTGCCTGTCCCCAGCCCGCTGCCTGTCCACTTGTCGTGTGAGCTGCTTTGTGTCACCCCTGGAAAACCTCTCCTGCAACCACCAAGCCTGAGCCTGGGGGTCTGGGCTGGGGGAGAGGGGGGAATATGTGGGACAAGTG